TATCATTCGCGCGTTTTCCAATATATGCAACATTTCATGTGAGAATTTAATACAATTCTATGCAACCAAATGTGAGAAATGCTTGATGATGAACACAATCTTCTCTTTTTAGGCCTTGAAATGCCCCTGTGTGTTGGATTATTAATCAACTTCTTTGTTTATTTCCACTAATAATTCACTCACGACGAGTCTCACCACTTTCGCATTCAACCAAGCATTGCATCCCCGAATAGCTCTCATTTTTTGTCAGCTGTTTCACTTTGCGATTGATATCGTAAACTTGCACTGGTACGCTATCCAAATCCTATTGTTGGGTGCAAGATGTACCTCTTTCATGTTAATTAGCAGAAACTAGGTATATGTTATTTAACTTTCCCTTGTTTGTTTACTAGGACAATCAGTGTTGAACATGTTACACGGTTTTCTTTGCACGAGATGTCAGACACATTTGATTTTCCTCATTTTTGAGGTTTAAAAATTATTTCATTCGCTCGATTCGCCATCTTTTGCTTTGGATTTTCCATTGATTCATTGTTCAGGTCCTTCCTTAATAATTTGATGTAAATAACCTGGTTTCCTTTCAATTTTTATTTTCAGAATACGGAAGAAGTTCAGTTTCACTTTGTTGGAATGTTCAGGTGGATATGGATGGAAGCGTAAATATGCAAGAAAAATTCATAGGGATCATTGCATGATTCAGCATAAAAATGAGTTTGGCTTTGGAAATGGGCCGATGACGTCTATGCCGTGAAATCATGTTGGGAATGGCAATATATTCCTGGCGTCAATGCTTTAATTGTTGCTGGTACAAAATACCTATGAAAATCAATGCAATCAAATAATGAAAGGAATCGACTCCACGCTATGATATCGATTTCTCACAATGGCTCGTTTGTGTATCGATTAGTGGCTGTGTTTCTTTCCATTGCACTTCTAATAGTGACCAGACTTACCACATTCACGAGATTTTAAATTACCCTCATTGTCCAAAATATCACTTTTTGTCAACATATTTGCTTGTGAAGAATATATAAAATGTGATGGTAACTCATCGTATCACTCCCTTTGTGCGCAAAATTAGTCATTTCTTTATTCTCTCATTTACTTATTAGGAAGGAGTTAGTGATCTCGCTTTCCCCCAATGCTTTCTCCTGACAACATGCATTAATTTCATCATTCGGCAAGCGCTGCAGGCATGATTGGTATTCTATCCCTTCCCTATTTTGCAATTTGTTCCAGAAAACACTTCACAGATGAATTTTGAAATCCTTCAACAGCATACACATTTTGGTTTCGATTTAAGAGTCTGTAATAATGCCGTCCTACCAGAATACTTTGCTCCTCTCGCCACGAATTGTTTATTCTATTATGAACGAAAACTTCTATGTGATAGGAATATCCCCCAGCGAAGAAGAGATCATCTTCATGAGGTGTCAAAGCGTGAACATATTTTTTTCTGGAGCCGAAACAACTCATCCCATCAATATCCAAGCATATCCCTAACGCTACGAATTGGAAACCCTCCGACGACGTGAAGGCAGGAGCCGTGATAACACGCCCCCATGCTATGCCTTCATGCCTCATATCATGGTGTCGTACCATACTCGCGATTCCTCCGATAAGCGAAATACTGTCATCCCCTGAAGTTACGTCGTAATTGGTTCCCAGACCGGCGACGTTAGTCGAGACAGTACGGTGTTGCCGACTACTCGCTGAGACACTAATTCATGGACGACGTATGGGCAACATAATACAACGCAAGTACGAATTGTACTATGTATTGGGTTTGGGGACAAAGAAGACGCAAGTCTGACTGTAAACATTTTTTCCTATTTTCTTTCCTTCGATTCCGCCCACCGCAGATGAATATGGATCCCGAGGAGACAGCACACGCCGGGTAATGGCGAACATACTCTGGAGGCCGGGGCCCTTCCTCTCATTCTCCTTTCTCGACGTCGAAGATCTTTATCGCACCCTTCCCAGTCGCATGCAGTTTTCTGTCCACTCCTGCAGGGGTACAATCGTTACTCAGAGGATTGTGAGTCATTTTGTCCAAGTCCCAATTACTAGAACTCATTTGATTAATCTTTTGGTCGCCGTTGATGCACCACATTAAATCCGGTATTACTATTAATGAATAAATAGTGAATGTATATAGTATATAGTGAATGCAAATGGTAAATGAATAAATTAATGAATAAATGGTTTTCTCCTTGGGCATGGTATGGCGGTGCTCGCCAACGTGATAGTTTCTCGCATCTGTGATGGCCCTGTTGCACCTCAGATCTCCAGAAATGATTTGAGCCATTGAGCAGCCCCCGATTGCAGGCGCTCGTACGGCAGGAGAAGCAGACGGACTTAGTCCAGGAGATCCGTTCAATGACGTGTCCGGCTCTAATCTTGATCCGATCCTTTCCGCGCTGCTTCGCTGAACTCCGCCTCCGAGGAAATCACCAAATCATCTCGATCCAATAACGAAGGCAGCGCCTCGAACGAAACGCCTGTCATTGTGATCATTGTCACCGTCGTCGTGATCCCCCAAATCCTTCTCGATCACGATGTTTTCTTTCTTATTTGAGGCCAGAAATGTCATTCTCACTCTCAGAGTGGACCGATTCTGAAGGAATCGCTTTACGAATCACGGTCTCAACGATTTCACATATAAACCTCGAGACGGAATGGGATCGCGAGACCGAAAGAACGATGATAATCGTGAATTCCCCCTCACTGATGGTACGAATTTATTTGAGAGAATGTGAGATACAATAAAATCACCTTGGAGACCGACAGGCTGCAATCATTTTCCTCCATAGAGCTGAACCCCATGCCCAAAGCAGATAAACCTCCACGAGGTTCGAAGTGACTGAATCACGAGGAGTCGGATGTGACATCCAATTCTGAGCTCAGCAGAGCTCTCTCCCTCGCGAAAGTATTAAGGAGAGGGTGGCGTTCTTGAGCAGCGATTTTCTTCATCAGTCGCGTTGATCGGCGTGCGATTCGCCCTGGCTTCGAATTCAAATCCAGGATGTGAGCGTTTCGTGGGTTGGAAGAAAGGAGAGACATTCCAATTCCGTTTAGATTAATTAACGGGAAACTTAGGCTTGGGAGTCCCCAGTAAAATTAGAAAGGAACGATGCGTCAATTTGGCAATCCATTGGGTGCACATATGAACAATTTCGGCAAATTTTTTTTATCCGTTTGCATGGGTCGTGCCTGTCTCCTCTGTAGCATTATTCGTTTGATGAGAGGGCAAGCAATTCTCCATTTTGAGCGATGGAAATCACAATTGGGAACTTGCGACGATGGGTTTCCTTGCGGACCCCTTGTGAACGCAGGTGGCGACAAATTCACGAATCGCCCCGTATTTCATTAGTGACCCTTGAAATCTCTCAAATACGATGGCACTGTCCCCTGGCGTGTCCGGCGCCAACGCTCATCTCCAATTCAATCCTGAAGATGGCGAGAAGAGAGCAAAGCTACTATAGTCCGTGAAAGTCTTCCCCTTTTCCTTTGGCTTATCTTTAAACTTCTTTCGCAAAGGCACAATCTCGGGCGATAAGGAAGGTTTACGTTGAAATCCCCAGTTCGTATCTCATAGCGTCTCACTTGTCGTCATTAAAAAAAACAAACATTTTTTTGCTTGGCGAAGCTAGCGGTCAGGATGTCGCACGCTTTATATGAGTTTTACCTCCGGACCTCGGCCGCACCGCAATCGCGGCCCTCCGGACTGAATTGCATGTTTCCAGGCTCGTCTCACTTTATAGGAGCTCCCTTTCGGAATTCTGAAACGGTGATCTAGTACCGAAGATACTCACGCTGTTATATAATGAGGTGCTGCCATGAAGTAGTCTGTTTGCAGAAAACCGTAAATAAACAATAATTATAGGGACGATTTTAAGGAATGAGATACAATTGAACTCATCTTCCTGGTCCAATGTGTCATTTGAATATTTTGCGTCCAAGTGTTGAAAAACGTAAGCAAAACATCAACGTCATAGCTATTGTTTGAATATCGCCTGGTGAGATTCTCATAGCCAGGTCTCACTCCGTTCAATTTTTCGACTTCATGCCGAAGGAGCTAAAATTCCTCTGCGAGTTTTGGCTCTCGAGCCTATCTCGAGTCCCAAGGAGGAAGGAAAATTTTTTTATTCTATTCATCATTTATTCTATTCTAACATCAGAACGATTTTTGTCCGGTTTCGAATTCTGAACGCATCTCATCGAGAAAGCGATAGCTTTCTCGATGAGAAGCTCGAAAGCTGTCTGAATTCTATCGAAACATCTCAGACAGGGACAGAAATCGAAACGCATGATGATCGCCATAGGCAGAACATGAAACATGAACATGAAACGCATGATGATCGACAGGGAGGTCCATGCATGGTATGTCCGTATCCTCCAACATCGATCGACCTCCGCTAACAAAGGTTTCAACTACACTATATATCATCATATAAATATAAGAACGATGAGAAGCATGGAACAAAACAAATCCGCACAAAAGATGGCCATTGCTTCGACAGTAGGGATCAATTCTTCCCACTGTTAAAAAAAAAAAACACTTTAGTGTGTCGGAAAGTCTGCCTCACATTGATACCGGTAAGGAAAATCACTTGCATTTTAGCGTGCATACGATTTGCAACTCATTAATACATTGTGTCTCTGTCTTGGGTTTCCGTGTATTTTATTTTATAAAATCCGAGGAGTATCTTAAACTTTCCCAGATTAAAATGGGTTTTTTAGAAACAAATTAGAAGCATTGGTCAGGAATCGATCTCACATCAGTTCAGAAGTCATATTGGTTTCTGAATTCTCAAATAACGATCTTTCGTTAGGAACAAATTGGCTGGAGAGTGAGAACCAGAGACAAGGACCAGGAAATGGAAACTTCAAACTCCATTATATTTGTTTGAGCAGCCTTATAATCGTTGACTCGGAGCAAATGCCCTTCTTCAGGCGTAAACACAGAATTATGGTAAACAGAGGACTGAGTGAGCGTGCTACCTCCTACCAGGAAGTGCACTCTGAATGTCGATTCGTAGGGGCTTGATTCCAACATTATCACAGATAAGGTCCTCGTAGGATGGCGGGAGTTCGGATTGCGTCCCTGGCGCGGCTGGCACACCTGAAGATCTTCCTGTGGATTGCTGCGCCGTTGAGATGGGTGTCGCTGACAATGATAGTGGCGGTAGGGACTGGGCTTCCTCGTACGATGGTGGTAGGTAATCTCCAGTCCTTGATGCAGACATGAGACGCCTCTGCGAGTTCCCTTGCGATTCGCCTGAAGTGTATTCAACTATGTAGAACAGTTCTCCCCCCTGGAGTCCGCTTGAACAGTCCACCGGATGCGATCTGGACACATTGTCATTCTGGGCGAACTCCTGGAATATACATTTAATTTTTTATCATTTACTACTCATCCTACTTACCATTTTGTGAAAAGCTTTCCCATTCCTTTAAGCAGCTATGTTGCATTAATGCAAGTAGTAGCTGCTTGAAGTGGGGAATCCATACCTGACATAGATGGTGTGCCCATCCCCAGGTAAAACCTCGATAAGCCAAACAATGCTGTTAAAAATTCTTATTAATTTCTCGCATTTCACTCCCGATTCCGTCATTCATGGATTTATTTTAAATATAATCGCTTGATCGTACTCCACATACTTAGTTTACATTGATGATAAACGGATGGGTTTCGCCATACCTTTTTTCCCATGCAGTTGACACAAGGCGCACAGCCAATAAAGATGCATCCCAAAACAATAAAAACTATCCCGTAAGAATCCCTCATGCTCTTCCCCGTGGCAGTCAGCAACACGACGCCAACGACTACGAAGAACACGCCAGTAGAAAGCAAGAACAATCTCGTACGTGCGGCTCCCATGGCCTCCACCCGTTGCGTGATTCGCTCGTGGTCCCTATCGGGAACTGAAGCTTCTTTCCACTCGAGTTTGTAGAAGTGACTCATGACCTTCGCCGGATTTCCTCCTGCATTTCTTTATTCCAAAGAATCTATTTTTGGGAACGGTGATAAGAATAAGATAAACAAAATATCTACATCAAATGGTACTCATGTTTTCCATATAAATGAAAGTATCTCCATATCCCAGACCATAGACATATTTTTACGATGTTAATATGTGGGCATGTGTGTGTGTGTGTGTGTGTGTGTGTGTTTGTGTGTGTGTGTGTGTGCGCTTGCGTGTGTCAATCTGAAAATTTTCTAGAATTTAATATATGAGGCCTTCATCGACAGCACATGACGGTAGGGGAATATTAATTAGGTCAAAATCCGGCAAGATTGTTGCAGAAGTTTTTTCAATGGGTCCTACCATCCGTTTGCGAATCATCCTTAAAAGCCGATGCATACTAACTGCGAAGAGCTGCGACAAAGCCGCACGGCGACCGTCTGCGAAGTTCGCAGTCATTTCTCGACTGCGACCGTCTGCGAAGCATCATCTACACTGGTCGTAGTGGAGCCAAGCGAAATGCAACATGGCTGCCTACAACATAAGGGCTCGTGCTGCTGCAGTTTTGCTTTTCTTAAGGCGCCAGAGGAGAAAAACTGCGCGACGTTGGTGGGTCCGTGCCATAAACAAGTCTCGTCATCAGAAGGGAGCATTTACAACTCTTGTGGATAAGATCATCACCGAAGACAAGGAACATTCTCATAAGTACATGAGAATGTCTCCCGAGCTCTTCAAAATCCTTCTCGGTCTGCTAGAGAATGACCATGATTAGATCATGATTAGACAATACACAAATTTCAGGCCATGCATTACCCAACTCAAATGCTGGCAGTGAAAATGTGGTAAGGACATACTCTATACAAATATTGTTTGTATCTGAAGTACTGATAATCATGCAGCATTACCAACAGATTTCCCCTAAATGAGGATACAACTTTTGCCTGGGTAAGACTTTTGAGGGTACGTCTTTTGCACTGAAAGGCCAGGTGCTTTTCAGCTTAAAATATAACAAATTCATGGAAACAAGGGGAAATGATCTGAAACGCAGTATTCAATCCAGACGTTCCATTAAGATTTACTTTGTTTATACAGGTATCTCGCACATGGAGGCTCAATGATGATGATAGGCATCACCCACCGTCTAGGTCATTCCACAGTTTCGAAAATCATCAAACGAATAGAGCGATATGGCATACCCTGTCTCCTCTGTACCGAAGAGTGCCAGATCATGAAACATGGAGGAAAATCATGGAGGAATTCGAAGACTGGTGGAACTTTCGAAATTGTGTAGGAGCTATAGATGGGAAACATGTTCTCATCCAGGCCCCCAAAAGAAGTAGATCAGTTTATTATAGTTACAAGGGGTCCTATATTATTATATTGCTGGCTGTATGTGATATTATTCACAATTTCACCTTGATTGATGTCGGGGGCTATTGAAAACAGAGTGATGGCGGCCCTCTTTCCAATTCTGCCTTCGGAAGATCACTCGAAAGGGGAGGATACGAGTTTCCTGATGGGAAATCCTTGACGAATAGTGGAAAGCCACTCCCCGGTTTCCTTGTAGTAGGCGAGGCATTTCCTCTTTCTCCTTTCTCATGAGACCATTTCCTGGAAAGTTTCTTGACGCTAGGAGGACCATCTTCAACCATCGTTTATCTCCGGCACGACGAGTGATAGAGAACGCAGTTGGCATTCTTGGTACTAAATGGAGGATATTCAGAAAGCAATTGGAATGAACCCTCAGAATGTAGATCTTGTGATCAAAGCCTGCTGCTGTCTCCATCCCTTCATTTGATTTCATGAAAGCAGGACCCATCCAAGTCAGCGTTATTACACCACAAGCTACATGATGGATGCAGAGGATGCACAAGGAAGCACTGTGGAAAGAGAGTGGTGACAGAGCGATCCCGCTCTAGGTTTGGCTGGCATCAAATATGCTGGTGGAAAATTTTCCAAGAATGCAATTCAAATCAGGGAAGATCTCGCCGATAACTTTTCTTCGCCTCAGGGCGACGTTCATTGACAGTATGAAAGAGTCATTCCCAGATGTTTATCGAGGCTCGATATGGGACGACAGAAATGACATAATGCTCACGAAAGGCCACGTTGATGTATATACGTCTTCTGTGGACGATCCATTCCTTCTTCTCTTTCCCTTCTTAGCCTCTCTGCTGAATTTATCTCTAAGGTCTCTCCAACGAGATTGGCATTCCTTAGGAGTCACTGAAACATACAAGAAAAATTTCTAATGAGAGGTAACCTCGGGATAGAAAGATTGAAATGAAGTCCAGTATTTGCAATGTTTTTTTTATTGCCACAAATACACTCAAACAAAAGGTTTTAAGTCTATTTATTTTTTGCTTTGCAGATGATGAAGAGAGTACATCCTTAACCATTGTATGGCTTAATTTAGTAGTCCAATAAATCTCACCTTTGACTTAACATTCACTCAATAGGTCACCAATTTGGATCCAAGCTGCTTCCTTCAACTTCCCGTTCCTGTATTCGACTAAGCACTGATCATATAAAACTGGCCTCTTCTGCCCTTCCGTTATCAACTTCTCGTCGTTATCCAGTGACTCCATAGCTCACGGTCAATACATTAGAAATGCGAACGACTGCGAAGATGCGACAGGAATAAACTCGTCCGAATCCGCTGCGAACCGTAATGCGACCGTCTGCGAAGGTCCCACGCATCTCCAATGCAACCGACTGCGACGAGCTGCGATTGTCGCAGTGGTCGCAACGCAGCTCTTCGCAGTCAGTGTGCATGGCCCTTAAGCCTGGAGGCTTGAGAGCTCCAGGTCTCCCATCCATGAGTAGTATTTCCCCCAAGGGGCGTCGGAGAGGCCCTCGCAGATCTGCATGGTTGGCATTCCATCTATCAGAAAATCTGGAGAAAAACGCCTGCATCAATTCGAAGTGGGACCAACGGTCGCTGTCGAGAAAGGACGGTATTGAAAATTAGAGAAAGTATTCCCTGTCTAAAACAACTCACGACATCGTGGTGAAGTGATTATCGGAAGTGTGCGAAAAATGTAGTTTCTTACGATCACGATACACGTATTCAGATAATAATTCAGGAATTCTGCTTCATTTCCCTTCGAAAGGAACTTCTTCCGTGATAATCTGGAGAGGTGGACGCAATAATGAGGAAAGAATTCGTCCAAAGTAGGACAATGATTGTAAAATGTTGCACCTGTCCGAACACTACCATTGAATCAATTACTATGCTGATTAAATCATTTCATTACTATCACAACCTTATTGGCCTGTCATATTGATAGGTGTAAATGAATGTTGCTCGCTAAGAGCCTAATGTACATCCCCATTTTCTCTTTTGAATAAAAAATTATGCTTCCCATTCAACTGCAGGGGAACCTTTCACTCCATCGATTTGTTTCCATAGCAACTGAGACTGACGCTACATTGCATTAGAAGCAACACATGCCACTTTCCACGTAATTTTTTTTCAGCATGGCCATTGCATTACAAGTCGTTTTGATAACGTCTACTTATTTTTGCGATCACTGCCAACAAGATGTTGGCCAAAGCGATTCTTCATTCTGATAACTTGATAGTCTGGAATTACTTTTCAACATCGCTAATACTTCTGAACATATTTTTCGCTGAGAAGCAGTGAACTTACAGCCATTGAATCGGTGTTCCTCTTATCGAAATTAGTCCAAGAATTTAGTCACGTAGGTCCCTTTTTCGCTTTTAAATACGTGCCAATATTTTTCAATCACGTCATGGGCGACATTTTCCTCCCGGGAGATGTCATGACATCCCACTAGATTATTCACATACACCCCTGAATTATAACCAATAAGTACTACTAGAACTGAGGCAAAACTTTCGATCGCTAAAAAAAATCCAGTGAGTGGGTATTGACGGATATATCTAAACTAAAAGTTGAAATTGTGTTTAAATTCATTTTTCGTAAGAGAATGGTGTTCTCCTTCCCCGTGTAGAATTCTGAGACTTGTCATCACCTTCGAAGCCATCGATACTGTTTATAGCATAATCAGTGAGACTTCGCCTTTTAAAAAATATCAGAATACAAGTCTAAACTTGGCATTTACCCCATTATTATTATTAAGAAGGCAAAAACAAATTGAAAATGTAATTGAAACACTCCATTCTCATGGGCCAAAATTCCAAGTATAGATTCCACTAGTGTACTTCCATATTTCATCTATCTTGCATAAAAACGCGTTTACTCATTTTTGGAAGCACGCAGTGCATTCACGATTTGCACGTGACTCGAATGCCTCTTGCTGAGCGTCTGCTCCTCATTATTGACACAATGACTAGAGATTCTCGTTGTGAAGAACTTTATTTAGCCATCTTCTCGTGTGATATTCATAGGAAAACCGTCAGAGCAGGATGGTAGCATCGGAATGTACGAAGTGGTTGCCCGCTTCGATCTGTTTTACCTGGAGCTCGTCCACTGGACCCATGAGAACTCCAGTTATCTCTCCGTTCTATGCATTCACTGGCTACAATAGAAAAATAAGCATTCAGGCTTCCATAAGGATGTGTTGTGAAACTGTGGCTAAGTTATGAATAATTCGTTGGATTTTGTTCATGAAAGATTATATGGCGCCATTTTCCACTTGAACGATGACAAGAATAGAAATATTTGGCATTATTCGAGCAACTTTATTCCCCGATGAAGCATTCCCCCCCAATAAAGCAGAAACTCATCATTTTCCAGAGTTATTTTCATCACGGAATCGGAAAGCTCTGCAACAAGCGAAATCAGAAGTTGTTTTCTGGAACCAGCATAAAACATGAGTATGCAAAAAAGTCTGATGATGTGAGAATACATAGAGGTATTGCAATGGAACATTTACCCAAGAGAAGAATTATATTTTTAATAGAAGAGACAACATTTCGTGCAAGCCCAGCAAACAATGCATATCGTGGTGACCGACGTTTCCATTTAAAATAGCGCATCTGTTATATATGCAATACAGATACCCTTCCGTGAAAAATCGTGCATAAAGTGGTACGAGAAACACACTGGTGATTCACACAATCGTTGATCAAAACTAGCTAATTATAGGTTGCTTAAGGATCGCATTGTGTGAGTAATTCTGTGAAAGCATTGCATCCCCTTATCATGCAGTTTCATTTAATCATCTATGTTGGTGTGCAAGCAAAAATCATTGTTCTCCTAGCCTGGTCTATATTCAATAATGCGCCTCGTCATTACACAGTGTTCTTCACGGCATGCGTCGTTGAAAACACACGAGAGGACTTTTTGGTGTCGTCATGATGGGAAAGTATTGGTGAAGAGAGAGAAAAATTCCTTCATACTGGAGTCCATCCAGACGATAGTGGCCGGACATAGTGTCCAATGTTGTCTCAAATTAGCGACGACAGTCATCAAACCGGGTGAAAAAGTATCGGATGTACTGGTCAAGAAACTCGTAGATGGAGACGAGGGAGATGCCCAGGAACAAGCCGAGACATCCCCCGAATTTCCCGACCATCTGGATGAAATCGTAGGCTTCGCTCTCATAGAGAACCTCGACCGTATTCTCGGGGACGTTGATGGACAGTCGAGCTGCTTTCGAAAAGGAATAGTCGTCGGGAGGCTGCAAATCCACCGAGTAGCGGAAATTTTGGCACGGTGACAGACAGGAGCAATTCATGAGGAAACTCTTCGCGGCGCTATCGATAGTCATGGCCAAGGGCACTATTTCTTCCAATATATCCTCGCACACGGGCAATGACAGGTTCATTGACGGAAGGCGGCATGAAAGTTGTGTGCGTTTGAGGGCCTCTTTCGATAAGCATGTGTCTTGGCACTGTTTGAGAGGAAAGAAAGTTGCAAAGTATTTGAAATATTTTTGGTCATATATATACAGTATTTACATATGAAATACAATTGATATCGTACCTCATCAGAGCTGTATCCTTCCCTGGATTCGCAGGGATAAGCCGTAGTATGGACTTGATTGATTTCTTTGCCCGAGAGAATTACTTGGTTAGATGTTCCTTCCTTGATCTTGATTTTAGTGTAAGAAGACTTCAAGTACATGGAGCCCCATCCCAGGTCTTTGTGGATGTATACATACCAGAATACCGTAACGTTTTCAAATTCACTTGGAGGAGGATTGACTCTGAGGAAATAGCCGGAAAAATCCATTCCCACTCCCAGAGTTACGTTGGGGTGGAATGTGAAACATCGGCTGAGAAAGTAATTATAGAATTCTTCGTCATCATTCCTGAATAGTGTATGACGCCATTCTCCACCTGCTCCAACATCAATGGTTTCATTCAAGAGCTATGAAATCTCTCTTGCTACACCTGCAATATGCTCTCTGACACTGTGGACATTCTGCATTCTTTAGTTTCAGCCTTTAATAGTCCATGCAGTGTCCTTGACGAACGTTGGGAATCTAATAATATTGCAAAAAAAACCAAGTGAAAAAATGATGATGTAGGTATAACTCCACAAACCCACTATTTCTTAGGGCAAATCAGTGTTTCCCTGTTACATGACTTAATCAGGAACATATTTTTTATTTGAATTTACCTAATCGCGACGTACGTCATTCCTGACAGGTTTTGACTTTTTTGATTAAACGCCGTGTTTTTCATTAGCGGCTCTGCGTTTTCATATTACTGAAATCATTCGTGTTATCAGTTTCGCGAGTTCTTAAGTTGTTGCTTTCGCCACTTGCCTTTGGTGGGGATGATGCCGTCTCCTGGGGAGGCTTCTTGTGGTAAGCAAGTGTTGCCATTGATATCGCATCTCCAAAGTATCTCGTTTAGACTGGATCCCAAAGCCTTTGTTGTAGAGGATAGGTTCAGTTTGCCGAAGTTGGAATTCGGCCCTATCTTGAAGGATGGCGTTCGACAGAGGGTGATCTTGGGAGCGGGGAAACTCCATCTTTCTTCAACTCGGTAGGTCGTCACCGTTGGTGTCCTCTGGTATCGCCGCCAGTACTCCACCGCCTAATCGTTTCCAAACATTTTCAAAATTCCATCTTCCATCTTCGAAAGTTCTACGAAGGATGAGATTCTCACCTGAACCATAGTGAGGAGAGCGGCGCACGAGTATACCAGCACGGTCAAAGCCTGGCATCTCTTCACTTTCGTAGCCACTTTCACGGCACTCATTTTCGAGATGGATGTGACGATGGCGAGGGATTGACTTCTTTTGACGTAAATCGGCTCCTCTTCCTAAGAAAATATATTTCGAGCAGTCGTTGACTCATTTCGTTCATTTGCCACTAATGAATGGGTCAGCAAAAATAATTTAGAAAACATGAACTAAATGTGATACTCACAACGCCGAACTGCAAAGACACCAAAATGTCTCTTGATGGTGCCCCTTAAAAAAGATGATGTTGAAATATTTTCAGAAGAATAATGAATTCGGAGGAAGCACGTCAGTAGCAAGCTTGATAGCATAGGAGAAGCCTCTTTCAACGTAATAGCCTCAACCATAGGAAATTTCCCCAAATCGAGAGTGGTAAAACCATAAAGGTTCATGCTGTCTGTTTTCATGATGTTCTTCAAGGGAATCCAATGAAAAAATTTGAGGAAAATTCGGCGGAAATGTATAATCTTTGATTGCTTCATGTTAACATGAGGCTGGCATTGACTCTCCGCAACCAGAAGTAACGTTTAGCCATGATGAACTATTTTAGTTACGTTATCGCCTCGCCATATCTTGAATAGACGAGAGTTGGCGTGGGCATTCATGAAGGGCATCCATGACGGCCGTGCCTCCCGTAAGTTACCTGAATTACTGGATTTTTAGCGTTCGTGAGGAAATAAGAGGGGGTTAGTGCGTCCGATGCCACTTGCGCTCCTACGGGCACCGCCGGGAAATCTATAACCTCCGTTTCCTCGTGGGTTTTCATCGCTCAAAATGCGGAGTTGCAGAACGAAATGCTCTTTTGACACAACTCGCATCGCCTTCACTCCATGGAGAGCGCCCACGAAAAACGCGAGGAAGCCCACGAGCGCGAGAGTTATCAGCGCTTTGGTCTTGTTCTTTTGGACGGACGTGTTTGTATCATCCAAATTCGAATCAGTAGATCTCGGCCCCTTGATTGTTCCTGTTGACCTGTTGTTATTTCTGAGACTAGGACTTGCCCACATATGAATTAATCATTTCCATCGCGTTCGGTATCTCCTTTGTGTGTCAACATCGTTAAGGTGTGGAGTAGAGTGCAGCGGAAACAATCTACGTAGGATGTTTCTTCCAAACTAGAAACCTGAATAGACGAGTGGCAGACAAACTTGCTGCAAACCGGAGAAGGCGAAATGCTCTGTCGTAGAAGGAGGCATCATGATCTTCAGAGTCTACCACCCATGTTCCACCCGATCATATTCTAAGAACTTCAGTTATTAGCAGCGTTCCATGAACGTCCATGGGAACGTTCTATTGGCTGCTCCAATTTCCAAAATTCAAAGCCATGACAAACAATTTAGTTTATGGGTTCCCTGAACTACGTGAATTCTTCAAGGACATGAATTTTATATTTCCAAGAATGGGTTTCAATAAAAGTATCTGCTTTAGGATTAATTGCGAAACAACCAAGGTCCTCCGGTTTGAATAATGAAACAGGTGGTCTCACAAACCTAAGAGATTATTTTCTTTCGAATAACTTTTACATACAGTTTTCGTCAAGTGCTCTCCTCCAACCCTTAAATGTTTCCGAACGTTCTGGAACTTTCGCGAAACCCCTATACACAGGCAGTGCTGGCGGAGTGCTGATTGGAATCAATGTTCATTCAATGTACATTAGTTTCGGTAATCAGTTGTGAGATATATAGATAGTTCTACCCATCCAAGAGCGTTACGAGATCATCTTCCCTTTTAGAGATCTATTGGGTATAAAGATCGAATCAAAGACTGGAAAAAGCGATCAAATTCCAAAAGATGACTGAGATAACGTCGCCTTTATCCAAGGGAGGGAAGTAAAGATCTAGCCGATTTGACTCGTTCTCGTGACTCGAGACCGGCACGGAATGGTGCCACGGAATGGTGCCATGGCACCATTCCGCGCCGATAGGATTATGGATGATACGTATTCCACCGATGTCGAAGAATCTGCTCAATTAAGGCCATCCAAACGGTCGTTTGAAATGAGCTGAAGCCCATCTGTCTATCCATTAGGACCAGTTGATTTTCCCCGATGAGACAACGGTGCGTCTAAGTCTGGCGAATGAATGCTTAATCGCATTCCCACGAAACATTTACCAGCGCAGCCGCTTCTCAACAACCTGGGACTGTTGTGACGAATTTCCAAATCTACGTGATTGCAACCCCAGGAAGACAATGACGCGAAACACATTTCGAACCTGCTAAAAAAATATGTTCGCATGAATAATCATCAAGAGGGCGAGCGAAGAGACCGGAACTGTCGGGGTGCAGCACCTATTCACTTTCAAAGGCATTTCGGCACGTCGCATTCCGAGAAGATGATTCAAGCTCGACTAAAGTAGAATGCGTGGGGCCTCCACGTCTTGTACTTAATTCCAGTCATCGATAGCCGTTGTTCGATGAGACAATGATAAACTGTAACCGTCAAAGCGATGAAGCCTGACGGTTTTATCTTTTCCCTTTGTCCCGATGAAGGCGTTCTTCATGTTGTTTGCTTCATCAAACTTCTCCGCCTGACGGTACGAGTATTGTTTACCAAGCTGTGAATAAAGCATCGATCTGAAATATGCATGACTCAAGCAGCTTCGTCCCCTTGGAGCATTTTCCCATCACCCATCAGCCTATATTATCCAACGAGACATGTCATGTATTGCGTGATACGTAACTTCATGGACTTTGCGAAAGACAACTGTAATCATAATTTAACCTCTGTATGTCGCACCTTACCTTATCGGTTTTCACTAGTAGTGCTTTATTTTTCTCGTCTATCTTTCCCTCTCGACGAAGTTGTCGTTCAAAACACTCGTATGCAATGCCTACGTATCCAGAGTGAAAATATGTATTTGCTTAACTGGAAATGTATTGATGACCTCATGGCGGCATTCTCCAGCTGAATAATGACCAAGAGTTCCTAAAATACTCAGCATAGATCATGCGGAGCACGTTTTACGGATCTCTTGCGATGAATGGACAGTTGCTTGATTTATGCAATTTTTGCTCATGATGTGGTCATTTTCGATCGATATAGTTCTTTCGGAATGCAATGGTTCATCTGAAGACTTGCTTTCCTCATCTTGAGGTGAAATCTTGAGATGAATCAGTGATGTGGTGCCACTGACTTTCTCAAGCTTGAAAACATCTCAAACCTCCACGATCCACCAGGAAAACCTAGCTTTTGGGTCTTTGTCCATCATCCCGACCATGGGAGTTTTTAATTCGACGAAATTCCATCATAGGAAATGCCTTCCACGTTTCCATCGCAAAAGCCCGTTCGCGCAGGGACTGCAATAACTCGAAACAGAACATATTGCGCTCCTCTTTCTGTTCTCTCTCTCTTCGTCAGCTGTTCATGGAGGCAGCCTACGAAGCAGCACCTCGAGCACGTTGTCATGCGCGCACGTGGGCTCAATGACTTCTTTCTTCATCGCAGGTTTAGTAGATCCCGCCGCAGAATTGTTTGCACTTCTCCACCTTTTTCGAGATGTTTTGGGAACAATAATTTTTTTTTTAAATAATAGGCAGCTCTAATTCAATGCTGCAAATGTATGTGAAGCACTATCGTAAACCGGGAACGGGACTAGTAACGCAACAAACTTTCGCATCTTGCCAAAGCATCAGCTTCCATAGTCGACAATGCCTCGTACTCTCATAGTTGGTTGTGATCACTTCGCCCAGGAAGGAATCAGAAAAATGCTGTTCTTGTCAAATTTGGGCTCCCTGAGGTCAATTTGGTATGAATGATATACATTCTTACTCTTCACCAAATAGTTTACGCCACCAGGTTTTGAAAGAAACCAATTGTTTTAAATTGAGGCAAGCAAGATTTGGACGATTTGGAACTCTCAGGGCCGATTGCATGAACGATGTTTATTTTAGACATTGATTATTGATAGTGAATGTTTAAACACTGTCTGGAAAGGACACTTTTTTCATTTCCTATTGGACGTCGTTTGGACAATGTTACAGGAAGAGAGCGTTCATACAATCCATTTTTGACCTGAGACATCGGCCAACCGATGACCTTCGAAAAAGACCGGGAAAGCAGCGTTCATGCAATCGGCCCTCAGTAATTCAAACCGGAGGATCTCGATTGCGAAGCAGCCGAGGTCCAGAGGTGTGTGGGTATGTGTTTGTGTGTGACAACACTATATGGCAAACGCTTAGTGATATAAACATGCGGTTTCGACAAAACATTGCCTTTCCATCCGAGGATATGTCTTTTCGAAATGAAATTCACAAATCTGCCTCACGAAAATGAGGGGAAGCAACTTTCACGGAAAATCGCAGTTTCACTCTCGTCTCGCCAACTCTAGCTTAACCTAGGAGACGAGAGATGCCTTATTGAAAATCCTTACGTGAAATGAGCTTCGACAAATGACATCGGCGCGCTCGGCATTGTATTGCCGTTTCGATACCGGGAAGTACTAAATTATTTTTCTTTACATGTGATGGCACAATGCTCCATTCACATGGTTGGGTGCCAAGGATAATCACTGGTGAAATGAGATCTACAGGCTTTATACTTATGACCATTGGAATCCATAGGCTGCATATAGGAACATTCTCGGCAGTTTTTTTTGTCTATTTGCATGGGTCGTGCCTGTGTCTGTAGCATTATCCGTTCGAGGGCCAACAATTCTGCACTGAGAGTCATGGAAGCCACTGGAGGGAACTTAAGGCGATGGGTTTCCTTGCGGAACCCTTGTGAACCCAAGTGGCGACAAACTCAGTCATCGCCCCCGTTTTTCCTTAGAGACGCATGAAATCTCTCAACTCCGGTGCCACCGTCCCCTGGCGAGTGCCGCGCCGACTCTAGTCTCCTCTTCAACCCAGAAGATGGCGAGATGAAAGCAAAGCTGCTACTTTCCGTTGAAGCTTTCCCCCTTTATATTAGCTCATCTTTAAACTTCTCCCGCAAGGGCACAATCTCGGGTGTCAACGAAGTTTTACGTTGAAATCCCCAGTCCGTATCTCCAAGCATCTGAGCTGTCACACAAAAGCA